CCCTGCAAGGGGATTGCTATAGATAACGGTGGCACTTTCCAATTCCTTGAACCTTGGGAATGTGTGCAGAAAAACTGGGAATTTACGCCGTTGGAGAATGGCGTCCCTATCTTGCGCTTTCTACTTGATGTAAGTCTATCTCTGTCACGCACAGCATCCGTATCGATCCGCACTCCGTCCTTGACCTTCGATGGTGCGGGATAAACAGCCCTGACCTTGACTAGCACGAGTCTTGCGTTATTATCATCTCCACTCCATTATTAGGGATATCTTACATGTACTCACATGTTTAACGACTATCCTTAAGTGTTTATGTCGTAGTTAATTGAAGCTGAGTTATGAATAAGATTTTATGGTCATATTTATAGTTCTGTTATTGTATTGTATTTATGGACGAATCCTTATGGTTTTTATCTATAATTACTATTTTTTTTATGGGTGAAAATGGTAGAGTACAGTTAGCGTGGTACATACGAAACACATAAGACCGAAATAAATGACAATCTTTGGATGTGGTCTGAGTGAAGTTCCTGATATATCGTCATAGTCGTAGAATACTGACGGATCTGACAAAGATTACATATAAAGATCCGTCAGTATTCTACGACTATGACGATATTAGATATATACGTTAATAATGTAGTTTTATATTAATAAAAAAAAAAAAACGCCAAATTCGGAAAATATAAGGCTTTTTTAAACGACTTTAAAAAGAAGGAAGTCCTTTATTCAATTGTATTTTCTTTTATATTTGTCGCTTCCTTTTACCGTTAAAATTAACTCCGTCGCATCTAAACCGATTTGGAAAATTAGTTTTTTTTTTATCTGAAACGATATGCTTATTATTATAAGATTGGATCCATAGAGATATTATCAAAATAGGTTCAGTTGTTTAGTTTTTATATGATTTTGTCACGTTTGTGGGACATAGTCTTTAATTAGGAGTTTTTTTTTATTTGCTTCGTTTAAAGTAATGTTACTTTAATACTATCTGTCTACTTGTATATTTATCTGTGCCTTGAAATGTTCTCCGAAATTTCGGGGCCAAACGAAATACATATTTGATATTAAAATTACATAGTACATACTGTTTAAAAATATTAAAAATGTTAAAATATCGTTCCTTTGGACTTTTATGGTAGAATTTATGATGAACCAAATGGTAAGCTCCTTTTACTGGGCCAATTTCAGTGTGAACGAAAACACGAAATTGAGGCCGAAAATTCAGAATTCCATTTCATGGTAGACCCTTTGATCTTTATATGAAAACAATGGCCGCAAAATTTTTTATTTACGACTTAAAATTGGAGGTATGGTACGCAGTTTAAGCCTCGATTTTACAATTTCATTAAACTTTACAATAAGGCATGGCTAATATGGATACCGATCGGATAATATAGGGGACAAACGAGCATGCGGCTCACCTGATGGTAAGTGAATACCGCCGTCCATGAGCGTCAGCAACACCAGAGGCGTTGCAGGTGTGCTGCCGGCCTTTTAAAAAGAAATATGCTCTTTTCTTGAAGGTTATGACGTCGTATCGGTTTGAAAATACTGCTGCTGGAAGTTGATTCCAAAGCAAGGTTGTGCAAGGAATTATTGCGGTCCTCTGGACATTTATGGCGGGAAAAAGATCATTACCCATTTTGATATCGCCCATATCGGTCGTATATCTATTTTCGAAGGGAGACTTTGTACAAAAGTCGATTGCTTGGGTACCTCTGTTCCATTCGTGTTTCTACCGCGAAGCGTTGTGTTTGCATGGCTGTGTTTCGGTTTGAAGGATGGGATATGCCGTGAATTTACAGGGTACAGAGGAATAATACCTGAGTCCTCAGGAATGGCAACGCATGGTAGGTATAATGGGCGAAACAGTATACTCTGTTACGTCCATGGCACTGCTCATTTCTATAGGTACCATTATCGGTTACCACTTTCCATCAGGTGGGCCTTTAGATTGTTTGCCATTCTGTCGTATAAAAAAAATGTTAAAAGTGTCTGTTATCCAATATTATTTTTTGGGTAACAGACTTTTAACATATTTGTTCTTGGACCAGTATAAACATATTGTATTTAAAATACAGTGAACGCTCTATATATAAGCAACTCATTTGAACCAATTTCAATAAAAAAAAAATCTTATTGAGAAAAGTTGCTTATAGGGGAAAAAGGAGTATAACAATACTTACCGTTTGGAAAATATTTTTACTTATTTCTTTTACTAACTAAGCTGAGTAGAATAAATAAAAAATAAAGAATGTATGTATATATTTCATATATATTAGTTTATCCATATATATTAAAAGTAATGTTTATGAATTATATGTGCATTTCTTATGTGTATATTATATTTATATTGTGTATTGCCTTAATGTGTTACTATACCATAATTGTCACATATTTTTCACCACATCTGCCCTTCATACGCTTTCTGTTTTTACCCAATGGTAAGCTGGTAGAGAATGCCATATGGCATTAAGCTCGCCATTTGTACAAAGTTTTATTGTGCAATAAAGAATAATATAAATAAATAAAATAATTAAATGTTGCTTATAGAGAGGTTGCTTATATAGAGCGTTCACTGTATATAGATATGTTGGAACAATATACCACCTCCCATAAGACTGATCGCCGCTAAGTCCAGTTTCAAAATTAATTTCCAAAAATTCTTAATTGAGAGGCAAAAGTTAGACATTCGTGCAAGTTACCTCTATGTTCCATTTGTCTGCTAGATAAACTGTCATATCTGTCTGTTTACTGTATATCTATCTATTATATTTACTGTACGGATAATCTGGTAGTATTGTTTTATTGTTACCCTATTCCCTTTGGCCGCAACAGAATATCAGTGCTTTGCTCTTTTGAGAGCGAAGCAATAAACTGAGTTGTGGCCATTTTGTATTGCTATGGCACACTCACCAACGAAAATTGTATTTAGCTTTGTGTATTTTTTTTTATCATTTATGTTATCTCGCTTTTTTTTTTTGTATATGTATGTTGTAATTTGTGTGCTGTAAGTAATGCAAATAAATTATCTATCTATCTATCTATATTGCTATATATAATATTACACACCCCTATTTATAATAACTCGACTGTTCTCTTAATGAGCGAGAATGAAGGTTAGTAAATTGGTAGGATTCCATAACGTTTACGTAATACGAGACGCGCACGGGTTAACAACCCTCAGATAAAGGCTTCTAACACTGTTCGGGGCTGTCAAACTCCTCGTAAGTCTAAAACTGGAGTTGCCAGGTTTTATAAAGTTGTTCAATTTAAATTGACTGAGGAAAATATATGCATGATTTATAGAGTTATAGAATACAAAAGACTAATTAAAATTACAAGGTATGGAGGCAAATAATATAGTCCTTAGGAATGAATATGCTCATGGTGCGATTCATATACCTACATTTATAGGGGACATTTACCACTTTCCATCAGGTGGGCCGTCAGCTTGTTTGCTATTCTAAATATCATAATAATTTTTTTTATAAGATCAAGATTTCATTTTGATATCGCCTATTATGGTTGTATATATATTTTCGAAGGGAGACTTTGTACAAAAGTCGATTGCCTGGCTACCTCTGTCCCATTCGTGTTTCTACCGCGAAGCGGTTGTGTTTGCATGCCTGTGTTTCGGTTTGAAGGGTGGGATATGGCGTGAATTTACAGGGTACAGAGGAATAACACCTGAGTCCTCAGGAATGGCAACGCATGGGGGGTATCATGGGTGAAACAGTATACTCTGTTATGTCCATGGTACTGCTCATGTCTATAGGCGACGGTTACCACTTTCCATCAGGTGCGCCGTCAGCTTGTTTGCCATATTAAATTGTATAAAAAAAAAATCATAACTCTGTCAGTTGTAAACCGATTTGGAAAATTATTTTTTTATCTGAAAGGATATACTTACAGACTGGTTCCATGGATTCTTTTTCAAAATCGGTTCGGTAATTTAGTTTGAAATACAAAATAACTGGTTTTGACAATCGAAGTCTTTTCTTATCGTGTTACACTAATTATGTATATTGCTTAAATAACTTGTACTATATAATAATTAGATATAATTGGGTAGTTTGCCAGTCCGTTATAAGGAAAATATCGAGAATCAATACTCCGTCCGTAACTCATGGCCTTGCAAAGTCTAGACTTGTTTAAATTGTATAAACGCTAGAAACAAATTGTCAATGTAATTCCATTAGTTCCTTCAAAGAGTGAACTAACAGAAATTAATGATTTGTTTGTAAGTAATCGTTGTAAGGTTATTGCATACGTCGTCATCATCACTTTAGGCCTTAACTGTGGACTGCTGAACATAAGCCTTCTCCATTAGAGGAGTTTTGCCAGTTAGTACTCTCGTGACGCTGCTGCCTATCCTTCGACCGGTGGCGTAACAATAGGGCGGCAGGGCTGGCAAAATGCCACGGGCCCCTGACCCAAAAGGTCCCCGGCTCAAGAGGCCGCGAGCTTAGAATTTTTTTACCTTGTACCTGAGTATTTTATTTTACTTGAAAATAAATGATAGGCCCTCATCAAAAGAATTTGCCACCGGCCCCAAATGGTATAGTTACGCCACTGCCTTCGATCATAAGCTCCCTTAGTCGCCTCTTATGATACCCAAGGTAAAGGAATGGGTGGCCTATTCTATGCCGGGACACAAAGCGCGGGATGGGATACCATTCCATTATCATCCAATAAAAAAATGCCTATGCCTACCCCTTATGGGTAATAATCATGATATACTCATATATTTTATGCATGTTGTAGGGTTTTATCTAACTAATCTTACGTTAATCCTTGCTAATATTATTTGAAGGTGAATTTGTTTGTCTGTTACCTCTTGATGCCTTAATGGCTTAATCGATCCAGTTATGAGATGAAGAAAGATACGAGCTTCTTTTTACCTCGTTCATGAACATATCACGGTTATGCATATGAAGTTGCGCTTAAGAGCTAGTAATATATAACTGAGTGTTGGTTTGTTTGTTTGTTTACAGGCGTGGCGGATGTCGGGCGGCGGGGGCGGGGGCGGCGCGGGCCTCATGTCGTGCGTGCGCGAGGGCTCGCTCGAGCCGCCCTACAGACCGCCGCACGCCGACACTCACAACCATGGTCAGTATACATACATCCACATTCACACATACCTACATAGAGATACATGCAAAAGGCATATCATTAAATCTTCAGGTCCTTTGGGTAAGTGGAAAATGAATCTTTGTTAACATACGCAAAAGAAATAACAAGATACTGGTTGTTATTGTCTCTTTCTGTCTCATCCATGTGGTAGCGACAACATATCTATTCGATATGGTTCACATGCCTATTGACCGGGGGTTAGAAGCGTCAATCAATAAAAAAAAATACTTAATAGAGCAGGTACAATTATTAAACCTATCGAAGCCTTTTCACAACAATTGTTATATTCCATCAGGTTGGTCGTTATTTTTGCAATTCACTCTGTTGCATCCTGCAGACAAATTTTTTTTACAATTTTTTTAGCAAATAAACTTATTGGAGGCCCTTATCCTTGTAAGATATTGGCATTTCTTTAGAATATTACATGCTCTACTGATGGTTCAAGACTATGGATCTCCAATCCCTGATTCTCTAGTTCTTTAGCTTTCCCATTACCCTTTCTTCCTTCATATTTGGATATTTTAACCTTATTTTGTCTACCTAAATTATATTTCGAACTACTTTGTTGGAATGGTCAAGTCTTCAGAACTCCCTCTTATAGAGACAGTGATCTGATAGTTAAAACAATTAGGGTAATGTATCATAAACGTTTTTAGATAATCAATAGTTCCTTTACTGAACTCAAATTCCTCCTTAATTTCCAGGCGAAGGGCGCACGGGAAGATTTTTGCGCGGTCTCCGGCGCATGTTCAAGAGGCGCGGTAGCGGAGCACGCACGGATGCATCGCCCGATCCCAAAAGCAGTTCCACCAGTGAGTTGCTGGATGCTGAGAGACATGCTAGGAGAAAGTTAGTATACCGCTTCATTTTCAATTCTAGAACAATCTTGGACCCTGGAAAAATTGGCAGTAAAATGGGTTTCTACTGACTGTGAAAAATGATCTGTTTGTGATGCTACCCTTGATCTTTTCCGACTATGATTCCGGTTTGCTGTATATCCTATTTATACAATAGATGGTGTGGTTGGCAGAAAAGATGCATCTGAAATGATGACGACTATCGAATTCATTGTTATGCAATGTTAATATTGAAGATTGACCACTATTACAAGAGGTCCTGCCTGTTCGGTGCGGAATAAAGAAAATCAGATTCATTTACTATACTTGTAGTGTGAATTTTTGCAAATGGTTTTTTTTATACCATGAAAGTGGCAAACAAGCATACAACCCGTCTGATGGTAAACGGTCATTGTAGCCTATGGAGACCCGCAACTTTAGGAGTGTCACGTGCGAGTTTCTGACCTCAAAGAAGTCTTGATATATATGCCATTTTTAAAGAACTCCATAATAGTATAAGGTCTCTATGATCTGTAGTCTCTAGAGAAAACCTTGGCAGGAAGCTTATTTTACAGATTGAGCGTTTCCGGGAGAAAATTCCTTTAAAACCGCACAGTATGTGACCATTTAGGTTCATGCGTGTGAGGATGAATTCCCAATCGATAGCGAGCGATGCGATGATAAAAAGTGGCTGTAGGCATCATTTCAAATAATTCCTCAGAACAGAATCCGTTAATCAGGCGGTAAAGCACACAAAGAGAGGCAAAGATACTTAATTTAGCAAAATATTGTGATTGTGTTGCAGAGAGGGCGTTTATGGGAGTGGACTGTCGGTGTCGCATGACTCGGTATTCACTGGCGAGCGGTCGGGTGACGAATCCAGCGATGAACGACCCACGCCCGCTCACCATCTAGCACATTTGGCCACATCACATCGGGTAAGTACAGTTCGTTAATTTAATTCTGACTTCAAGTTATTTGATGGAAGGATAGTAGGAAGGAAGGGAAGAGGGAGACCAAGGCATAGTTACACCAGGCGAGATCAAGGAAAAGGTTGGTGTCGTGTCATATTAAGAGGTAAAGAGACTCGCTGAAAATCGTAGTGAGTGGCAAGAGCTCCACCGCAAGAGCTCTTAAATGAGATAGATAGATAGTTATTTATATACAACAGCGAGATTATAATGAATGTATTGTGTTTGTCTTTTCCGACAGTTGTTTCAACTTCATCCCGAAGTCTTCAGGTTAACTGTCTCATGTCGATGCTTATATTGCAGCTTGTCTTCTTGCACTGTGCATGCAGCCAAATTTTAATATAGTAAGACTACATGTTAATCCGATTGATGCAATTAGATTCACGTGTTAACTTTTATAGTGGGTTTGTTGATTGTTTATTGATGTAAGAATTATGGGGAAAGTGGGCGAAGCAAACAATATAAGAATATACACTGTAAATGATTTTGGGAGTAAGTGAAGTGAAAACTGTTTGTATTAGGTTCAATTAATAAGACTTTTAAAGTGCAAATAAAGCATTCATCATCATCATGTCAGCCTTTAACTGTCCACTGCTGAATATAAGCCTCCGCTTTGGTGGGTTTTGCCAGTAGTTGCCACGCTTAGTAGGCGGATTAGCAACCGCAGTTAGGCTTTGGAGATGTTTTAAGAGGGACGTTGCTGCCTATCTCTCGTCCTCCCTTAGTCTGCTCTTACGACACCCATGGGATAATAAGGGTTGGCCTATTCTATATTGGGACCACATGGCCATAAATAAGACATTATAACGTATGTATAGGTATATTATAAATAATATATAATGTATTTGAAAGACAGAAAATCTCTCTCATCAGTAAAATCACAGTCATTCTCCTGAACATAGTCTTCTTATAAATTAAATAAGTGAAAAAAAAAAAAACCTAATATTTAATAACCAATAACACACAGCCAAAACTTAAATTCCACCTTATGTACTAGCCATTTCGGTTTTGTTTGCGAAAACCAGTTATATGTAATGTACCCATGTAATTTTCGACTCGTGTTTATTTTAAATGCCCTTTTTCAGTGAGAAAACGTCTCTTAGAAGGTTTTACGTAAACAGCAGGTAGTAAGGTTTACTATTTGCTGTTTCAATTTAATTTTGTATATTTACAGTGGGTTGCCAAATTAATAGGGACAGTCACATTTTTTATAATTTTTGTTCCTCAAGTGCCCCTGATTGCGTTTTTAAGTGGTATAAGTGTGTTTGAAATATGTTTTTATGTTATCAGTATCTCTGTAACTCAAATTTAAAGTGAATTTCAAGTGCTGAGAGATTTATTTATTTTGTAAATATATTTTAATAACGAGAGAGACACACAGTCGTCCACACGTGTAAAAGTGAAACACGTAAATAATTCTTTTGAACAGTTCATTTGTGGTTTTGTGAAATAATTATTACCTGCAAGTAAGTACTATTTTACTATTATTAAAATTAAAGTATTTTGAGGCAGATTTTAGAACAATTTTTATTTTTATATATTTTTACAGCTTTGGCTATGGGGTCGAGGGGTAGATTTGTCTCCGAGAAAAAAATCTGAGATTAAAACTCTTCTCCTAACCACAAGTCATTCTCAGAGAAAGATAGCAGAACTGACCGGCGTATCTAAGTCTGCTGTCAATAAAATAAAGGTCAATTTAGACCAGAATCGGCCACTTTCGCCCAAAAGAAAAGGCAAATGTGGCAGAAAACGTATCACAACAGCACGTTCTGATAGGAAAATTCGGGATATCTGTTTGCAAAACAGAAAGAAAACTGTTGGATTCTTAACTCAGATGGTACAGGAATATGGAATACCTGTTTCTAAAAGAACTGTACAGCGAAGGTTGGCAGAGGAAGGCCTGACAGGTCATCGTCCAGTTAAGAAACCACGATTGACAAAGGCGATGAAGAAGAAACGGCTTGCTTGGGCTCGTGAGCACCGCCTGAAGACTGTTGAAGACTGGAATAAGGTCAGTTCTAATGTCAATTTTGTTTGTGTTATATAAAATCATATTTATAAAAATTATGAATAAATTTCTATTTTTTTTTAGGTATGTTTCTCAGACGAGTCAACATTTGAAATTCTAGCCGACAAAAGTAACTTTGTCAGGCGGCGTCCAGGCGAGAAATTTCACCCTGATTGCATAGTGGAACGCGTTAAACACCCTGTAAAAATAATGGTATGGTCTGTCATAAGCGCAAAAGGGGTTGGGCGCCTCTATATAGTCCAGGAAACCATGAGACAGGACCAATACAAGCAAGTATTAGAAACACGCCTGTTGCCACAACTCCAGGAATGGTTCACGAATGGGGAGGAATTTGTGTTTATGCACGATTCAGCACCATGCCATAAAGCGAGGAGTGTAACTAAATTTTTGGAAGACCACAACATTCCAGTTTTACCTTGGCCTGGCAATTCTCCTGATATGAATCCCATAGAAAACTTGTGGCAAATTACCAAGGCGGAAATTGCCAAGGAAATGATAACTACCAAAGAAAAACTGGTTGAAAAGTTAATAAATGTTTGGCATCACAATCCCAAAATAAAAGAAAGTGCTAAACAGTGTATCGAAAGTATGCCGAGGCGGATTCAAGCACTGATAGAAGCAAAAGGAAATGTGACAAAATATTGATAATTTCCCATCATAGTACTTATTATACTTGTTTACATTTTCAAGTTGTTTAAATATTAAATTATTGTATTCTAAATTCATTAAAGATATGTATCTAATATTATTAAATATAATCATAGCCTAAAGTGACGTTTTGAAATAATTATGGACCAATATTTTACAAAAAACCAATATTTCGTGACTGTCCCTATTAATTTGGCAACCCACTGTAATTCTATTAGTACAAACACGAGGTTTACTACGTACTAATACTAAAGGTAGACTTTGTATAAAAGTCCTTTGCTTGGGCACCTCTGTCCCATTCGTGTTTTTATCGTGAAGCAATTGTGTTTGCATGGCTTTGTTTCGGTTTGAAGGGTGGGTAATGGCAGTGACATTACAGGGTACAGAGGAATAACACCTGAGTTCTTTGGAATGGCAACGCATGGGAGGTATCATGGGCGAAACAGTATACTCTGTTATGTCCATGGTACTGCTCATGTCTATAGACGACGGTTACCACTTTCCATCAGGTGGACCGTCAGCTTGTTTGCCATTCTAAAAAAAAGTTTGTTTTTTCTACCTTTATTTTTATTAAAACATTAATCTCATGGTGTAGGCACTTCTCTGTTCACACAGTCGTAACGGTACAAACATGAAGATTTACTGTTGTCTCGCGTATTCCTTGACCAATTTCGGTCTCCGGCCGTAATCGGTATTTATTACCGCTTCATTGTGTATTCATCGGTGACTTGGCGAAGATTGAAAGCTTTTGTGTGGGGAAAAATATAGCATTTTATTTTACTTATTGTACTTCACTTTGATATTAAAAAGTAAAGAATTTGTGTTCATAAACACACTTAAGCTAAGAGTTGTCCGTGTGATGACGGAGAAAAGACACAATTTGTTAACACTTACCCGAGTTTCTGCTGTGAAGCAGATGTCATCATATCAGCCTTTAACTATCCATTGTTTAACATAAGCCTACCCCTTAGGGGGTTTCGCCAGTAGTTACCAAGCTTGGCAAGCGAATTAGCAACTGCAGTCAGGCTTTAGAGACGTTTTAAGAGGGACGCTGCTGCCCCTTCCTCTCCCACCCTTAGTCGCCTCTTACGACACCCACGTGAAAGGAAAGGGTGGTCCATTCTATGCCGCGATCACACGGCGATGTTTTCCTAATTTGCATTTATTTTTTAGTAATAAAATTATGCAAAAAATACAGGGTATAATTTTTTAAATTGGAAACGAATTTGGAAACTGAACGTACTGCATAGCTACACCTGTGACTATATATATTCTTTATTGCACAAAAACATACAGTAACAACAATAAGTTAATAACAATGTTAGCAAAGGCGAACTTATCTCTAAAAGAGATTTCTTCCAGTCAACCTAACGAAGTGGCATAGGAAGTAGTGAGTGGGCAGTAGTAGTGCAAGACAGAAATTTAAATAAATATTTACATAAATTATAAATAATTATATATATACACATATACATTCAATCTATCTATCTATCTACCTAATCAGTCCACATGAGCCCACTGCTGGGCATAGGGCTCATTTTTGTCACGTCATTTATAACGGATCTGTGTTAGAATAGGATAGAAAAAATCTTTATTCAAATGTATTTATTTACGAGATTTTTAAATAGATATTTTTTTATGTTTCTACTACCTACTGGGTTCGGAATGTTGTTATCTGCTAAGAAGAACGCGCAACAAACTCAAGTTACTCTTTTATTAGGTACATGTTAATTTCACATTTACATGGGTTCTGTGACCGAATTAGCATTTAGAGTTCTATTTATATCTATTATTCAGTTTGAAATAAACAAGCAAATATCAGCAGACCGGTCCTTACTAGCAGCACCCATTCACGTGTATGACGGATGAGGCCACCATCAGTGCGCTCAACTATATTTTAGAAAGCTCAACGACTCGGCCCCCCGTACCGTCGCCAGACTTATACATCATAGTGAGTATGGCTTACTTCAAGTAACTTAACTACATCTTGTGTACATTAATGTACTATTTAACTAGTTAATTAATAATTATTTTGAATTATATTCTCTCTAACTGCATTGGGTTGGCTGGAAGAGATCTTTTTTTAGAGTTATCTCTACGCCACCACTGCCCACCGTTGCTAACAAGTTGTTAATCTAATCGTTGTATCTTTTGTTCAAGTATAATAAAGAATATATATATATATATATATATATATATATATATATATATATATATATATATATATATATATATATATATATATATATATATATATATATATATATATATATATATATATATATATATA